TGTTAGGCTTCTTGTCAAAAACGGTCACATGGTTCGGTCAAAACCTTTGGGCGTTTGGTGACCATCGCCGCTAAAGAATTTTTAATCTGATAAAGCACAGTCTGACCGTGATTCCACCGACCACGAGGACTGTTTTACGATCGATGTGTTGCTGATTTTCGACCACAGCCCCTACCGATGCAGGTTGAATGCTTGGATCCGGCGATGGTGGTGACGTCACGATCCCCATTTTACCGGCACTCGTGGGTGGTGTGACGTGACATCGGGGTTGACGCCTTACTTTTGATCGCTGGTCAAAATGACGATTTCATTATTGTAGCCCATCACTTTGTGGATCCTCAGTTGCATGTCGCTCAGAGCCATGTACAACCCCATGCCAAACATGAAGTCGACTTTCGACCGGGCGTTTTACAACGTGTCTTGGTAACACTTCATGTCTGTCGGTAAATCCACTCGTGACACGATGTTATCATCGACCTTGGCCACGAATTGTTTCAGCACGCCGTAAACCGTTCCCTTACAGATGATACCGGAAAGCGTTTGCTTCTGTGCTTCGAGAATCGCCCATACTTACGTTCAAATCGAATCAGTCAGTCTGACAACACCAGGACGTGAAAACCCTTTAGACATATCTAACACAAATACTTTTCAATTGTTTTCGTAACATATTGAGGCTGCTCCACTTTTTGACGATGAAAGCAATGCCGCCTGTAAAATCCATACAATCATCTCGCCATTCGTTACTCAACAGAGCAAATTCTGGTCGAAGATAACCTTGTTTCAGCAAATCATTGCTGAGCTCTTTCATCGTTTTTGGTCCACTGTATGCATTTTTAGGGACGAGGTTGGAAAATGCCTGGATAGAATTACCAGGACTAGACATATGGTGGGTTATAACATGTATGGAATACCCAACCCATGATTCACTTCTCCCAGTATACGCCAATTTTCTGATTGATTTCGAATTCACCGCAAATCCATTCTTACGCTTGATGATCGTAAGGATTGTTCGATGCATCCCACACCTTATCCTGTGGAAGCGGAGTGCAGATTCTTTCAGTATGCGTCTGACCTGGTAGAGCACAGAAAACGAGAACATGGACCGACTCATCGGATCATGATGAGTGTCATTCAAGGTCACGCCGTACTTGGTGGTTGCGCACAACCCGGCAAAATTGATTTGATTCTGCCAGAATTGCATTGGGTTCGAAAACCAAGCGTGTACTTTTTAAATATATCGACAAACCATCCTTTGCATTCACTACAATCTTCATCTGCGTGAGATCGGTAGCACTTATATTATCGCTTTTAGGATAAATCGCTCCCGGTGTATACTTGGGTGTAGACATATTGAATGTATATTGTAGTGTCCTGTATATATGTAACATGTTGGTCACGCTCCTGCGAATCACGAGCGGCGAGCCTGTTCACCTGCTACACGTGATTGATAACACGTTAGGACGACTCGAAGTCGCTCTCTGCGATCTCATGTATTACCTACGTTGATCAAATATTAGTCAAAACAAAGGCAACAACAGGCTATTCATTGATGGCAAACGCCACGACTTGTCCGACAGTTATTACAGCGTTTGTACGTTGTACAAGGAAATTTTCAAACCTATTGGGGCCCATCTCAAACTCAACGAATTGAATGGAACGCTGATGTTAACGGCTGCGGAAAATCTCATTTGACTCGGTAGGACCTTGGCGAGAACTCTTTGGTTACCGTCGAACGAAATAAGACCTCAAGACACCAGCACGTGTTCGAAATTACCGACCTGTTCGTTCATCTCGATCTGGTAAGCACGAGCGATAGTATTCAAGGCGAACGCCTTTCGACGCTGTTAAGAACCGTGCCCATAAAATGGGACCTGTCTATCTTGAAGAACTCATGACACTGTACACTCCCTCCAGAACTCTCCGCTCCCATGATCAGTTTCTCCTGTCCATGCCTACTTATAAACTCAAATCGTTTGGTGCCATGTCCTTTCAGTATGCAGCTGCTACCCTTTCGAACTCTCTGCCTCTTGATCTAAAACAAGTACCAACTCGGCCACTCTTCAAAAACAGACTCAAAACACACCTCTTTCAAAAATATGTTTCATATGAACTGTGACTTGTCAGCGCTTTGAGCATTGCCTTTGTGTGGTGGAAGTCAGCGCTATATATATACTCTTCTTATTATTATAAAAACGAAAAAGTGCAACGATGGTCAAACCAAATTGTTCTCTTACAATACAAATAGTTAACGCAGGGCATTATCACAGAATTGAAACTATCCGTTTTAGACAAACTGGTGTATATGGAATATCGCAGCATCACGCTGCACGTAAAACAATGACTCAAGCCTCTGGTCCCGGAACAACCCTGAACCTGCGAAAATGCCCTACCATCGTGATCTCCGATCTCGGGTACACGCGAGGATTCCATGAACCCGGTGTCGAAGGCAAGTTATACGCCTTAGAATAAAGAAACAACATTTACAGCCGAACAGAAGTGAGAGGTGGTGGTAACCTAGGAGACTTAGATGATGTCATAACCGGTGGTCTCTTACAAAACACACAGTACAATATGGTCCTCAACAATAACAAATGGATGATGGTCCCGACATTCGGTGGCAATCTAGGCGATTTAGACCCGAGGTCTTTTAAGAAACATGTTGTACCAATTCATCCTTACCGATGATAACCAATGGACGTTGATCTCCTCCCAAATCGACTGGCAACTCGATGTCACCCTCGTTTCGTCTTACGTGTTTGCGAAGGCGAAGGATCATTATTTAACGGAAAAGTCCTCGAAGGTCGGCACACCGTTGTTAGGTTTGGCTTAGTAACGGCGCGCTTGGCTGGCACGCCATTTTTATGTTGGGTGCCATCTTGTTCAACTTAGTAACGGTGCACTTGGTCGGCACACCATTACGAGGTTGGGCGGCCATCTTGTTTGGCTTAGCAACGCATTCAAGTTCAAGTCCCAATCAAAACCAATCCTCTACCTACATGCATACATATAACAAGTATACTAAAATCAAATACTTCAAATAAGGACGCATCCCACGAGAGTCACACAACCAATCCACCCCAATTTTACCCTACGATGGGATTCAGACATCAATAAACCTATAGGACACATGTGCGGCAGTACTATCATCGTAATACTACTGATGGTATTGTGTCATGGAGCTTCTGTCCGTCTTTTGGCATTCTGGTATGGTCTATAGTGGCTTAAAGCAATGCATGCGAAGGACAGTTGATGCATTGCCATAGGCTTCAGCTCAAAGTGATGCAGTTTCATGATGCACGTGCCCTTCATGTAGGGTGCGTCTTAGGATTCACTACTGACGTGAGTGTAACGTTACGTTTTTGTTCAGTGTTTCTTTTTGTCAAATGTTATGTCGTCGGCAGCTATTCCCCGACATGTTAGGATTCAGCATGGATTGGTTTGTGTCAAAATTGTTCCTAAACTTCAAATTTTTCCTATGTATAGTTTCTTTTTTTAAGAGTATATCTTTCTGTTGGATATTAAATGTTGTAACCTTTGTTGGAGGCACGGTATAAGTCCATGTGTAGTTGCGTACCATGTCTATGATTTGCCCACAACTGATTCAGATATTGAGTTATTTAACTGGGAATTATTAGTCACAGAGCAATACACTCTCCGTTTCAACATTAGCATGCGTTTCTATGTAGAAATACTGCCGCATTCTATAAACGGCACAGGGCTCATGTAGCTAGTGACATATATGTACCAAATACCAAACGTTATGAATTTGGAAGATAATTAGCTAAATTATGTTAAGTAAATGTCTGTCAGTTATTGTAAATGACACAAGGCTACATTTGCGAAATATCATCCTTAACCAGAGGAAGTATTAATTAACTCATATGCAATACGTAGGGTGTAAATCAATATTTAGAAATACACGTGTCAGATCTCACGTTGAAGACACATAGCTAGTGAGGATGAGGTATCACCACACAAATGACTGTCTCATCATTTAACACCGACTCCCACCATGTGTACTCTACTCTATAAAACAACATCTTCTCCAAATGGTCAACGTTCATCGCATGTACGGGTCAGCTGTTTGGCCTTTGGCTTGATGAAGGGTGCAGGATTTATAATGCATTCTCCTTACATTATGTGACTGTGGCTTTCTGCTATGACTGACTGACTGACTGAGTTTGGTTTTACGCCGCTTTTAGCAATATTCCAGCAATATCACGGCGGGGGACACCAGAAATGGGCTTCACTCATTGTACCCACGTGGGGATTCGAACCCGGGTCTTCGGCGTGACGAGCCAACGCTTTAACCACTAGGCTACCCAACCGCCCCGCTTTCTGCTATGATCTTGTCAGGTCAAGAGTAGGGTGAAATAATTGACGACCACTGATGAGATTCCACATTGTCTTGCCATGACTGTGATATAGTCAAGTTTATGAGCGCGGGTTAGTCAGTCAGAAACTTGGAGCTGAGCTCTAAGTAAATAGTTAAACAGCTGACAATGAAATGTTGTGGATCCGCAGAGGGACTTGTGTTGACACTTTGAGAAATATCCGCCAACACACAACACGAACCAACAACATAACAGTAGACAACCTGAAACGTCTACTGCGAAACGACTATGGAGGATATCCTTTATTAGCACTTGTGTTGTTGTCCGAATACTGTGGTTTGTCATGTAAAATTAACAATACGTTTTGAGATACAATACACCTACTACACCCCAGGGACCTGCCCCACTTGTACTATACATTATAGCTCAGCACTATTAAATATAACTTAACGACCACTTTGCCAAGAGACACATCACGACGTGCCACTGCTTGATACCTCTAAAGGAAACTGCTATTGGATTTCATGTTTTCTTTTCTTTTTCTTCTAAAACAGAATAGAGTTAGTTGTACTGACTGGACCTGTCACACTGTATCGTTTACTCGAGACCACTCCTTCATCTGGATCATCTACCCAGGGTAAATGCCGATGTTATCTGTCATTACAGAGAAACCTTCAACCCCGAACATCACTGGACCTACATCAGCTGTCTCAGGTGGGCGTGTCACCCTGACATGCTCCTCCTCCTCCCTGAGTCTGCCCCCGGACCACCCCCCTCTGACCATGACCTACATCTGGAGGAGGAACAGTGAGAAGATTCAAGGAGGGGAAGACGTTCATGTAGAGGGGCCAAACCTCACCATGAGACACATCAGCAAGGCGGAAGACGGCAACTACAGCTGCCAGGCTATCGAGGGGGGGCTGAAGTCTGAGTGGAGTCACGGACACGACCTGGATGTTCAGTGTGAGTAAATCCGTGATCTGTGTTGTCCACCTTCAGCAGAATAGGTCAAGACTGTGCCTTTAAACACTGTTCCATATTGATGTACTTACGATCTTGTTGCCTACACGACCGAATGCAGTATTTATTTATTAATTAATTAATTTATTTATTTATTTATTTATTTATTTATTTATTTATTTATTTATTTATTTATTTATTTATTTATTTATTTATTTATTTATTTATTTATTTATTTATTTATTTATTTATTTACTTACTTTACTTACTTTACTTACTTTACTTACTTACTTACTTACTTACTTACTTACTTACTTACTTTATTTATTTATTTATTTATTTATGCACATCAAGACAGAGGCTGATTATTACACGACACAGGGAGGCTGTGTTGTCTACACCAGCTGTTGACAGATCAGGGCAGTACATCTGTCATGTCTACAAAACTCATGGAAACACGTGGAGGAATCTGAAACTTGATAAACCAAGTAACATACATATCATATCATATCATATCATATCATATCATATTCCCTGCTGGCCGTTCGGCGTGCACGTCTCTATCCTATCACCCATTCCAACTCACCTCATCTCCTGTAGATCTTCAGTAACCCATGCTTGTCGTAACGGGATCGGGTTACGGTGATCGGCGACTAACGGGATCGGGTGGTGAGAATTGCTGACTTGGTTGACACATGTCATCGGTTCCCAATTGCACATATCAATAATCATGCTGTTGATCACTGGATTGTCTGGTCGAGACTCGATTATTTACAGACCGCTGCCATATAGCTGGAATATTGCTGATTGTGGCGTAAAACTCATCTCACTCACTCACTCATGTCTTGTACTGCATGTTTACATCCAGATGTTAAATTTGTTTTAAGAATGTTATTCTTAGCGTCACGTCACTTACCATTTCGGAATCATTAGCGTCTGTCTGGATATCAAATGTAATATTACATTCAGAGTGCCATGTGTCCATTGCCCGAGCAAATAGGGTCAGAAATTCAAACTAAGTAGTACCGGGTTTACACGAATCTTTTGATTGTGTTCACAAGATTAATATCTCAGACTTTGTGCTGATATAGCCCAAATTTCCCTCGGGATAAGATAGCTTGTGTCATATTGTAATGGCGTAGAGGTGGATTTGTGTTGGCATAAATGTAACAAATGTCTTTGATGATGAACAGTACAAACCTTGAAATCTATTCATATTACCTTACTTACAGTGAGTTTAGTTTTATGCCACATTTAGCAATACTTCGGAAATATCAAGCGGGAGACAATAACCTTACTGATAATGCAGTTTCCCTACAGATAGGGAAGTCCAACAATCTCTGTCTCCAGACACGCCCATGCCGTTCCTCCTCGTCTCTGTTGGGGCGGTGCTGTTGCTGCTGGTGGTGGTGGTTGTGCTGCTGCTGGTCTGTGGGATACGTCGATGCAGGAGACTTAGAGGTAGGATGGAGGATGCGTGGTTGTAGGATTGTATGTTAAGCACCATTTATTGGCATATGTCTGTACAGTATCTAGAGCAACTTGAAATCCCTTTGGTGAAGATAGATAGATAGTATAACTGTAGTGCAGTAGTTTCCAGATGTTTCTCTGGATGCCCAGTTGATGTAACTTGTTAAATAGACCATCGTGCCATATACTGTCAAATGTTTTTTCATTATCTATAAAGGCAGCATACTCTGTAAAGTTTCTCTCAATGTAATACCTGATACTTTCAATAAAAGCAAAAACGCTCATAACTGCCCCATGTTCTTTTCTAAATCCAAATTGGAGTATGTCAGGGAAATATTGATTATTTTCAAGCAATTTAGTTTCTATTTGTTTAAGCAATAGCTTCTCAAAAGGTTTTCCAAGGCATGACGTCAGAGTAATTCCCCTATAGTTTCGGGGATCGGATTTTTACCTTGATAGATTTGAATGACCATATCAAGTCTATAATTAAAAGGCACATAGCGAAATTTAATCACTTTATTAAACAGGTCACAAAGGTGTGTAATGAGACACTGCCCCCCGTGGATAATGTGCTCATTTGTAATGTTATCTGGGCCTGGCGATTTGTTTTTGCAGAGAGATTTGGCAGTCTCTAGTACCTCGTTATCTGTAAAATCCCTTTCCATTCCTTCATCGATTAAATGGTCATCTAATGCTTCAATACTTTCAACCCTCTGACATATTTCATCTTTGAATTAATCATCAAACATATGTGAGGTGTGTGGCTGAGCTAAGTCAGAGTGATATTTACCCCACAGTCTACCCCCACAGGTGTTGACTCATTTTCATTATCATAGTTAAGCGTGGTTATAACATCAGTTGTGGATCTTTGTTTTCTGACAGTTTTGTAAAAGGTATTGGTATCAAGTTCAGCTGCATGTTCAAGTTCAGTCAAAATCCCATGCTTTTTAGATCTTTTAGATTTTCGATGCAAACATCTAAAATTCGGCTTTGAGTTTCATATGATAATAATACATCCCAGTCGTCACCTCTGGGCTTACCACTGTTAACCCATGCTCTACGAGCAACTCTCATACGGTAGTGGGCATTATCTAAACCATCCTGTTTCTAGTATGGCTTTAGATAAGGCTTGAATGTACTTTGTGGGATACATTTACAGCTGGCCTGTATGAGGCCTTTAGTAATAGTTGTGATAAATATATTCAATATCTGTCAAAACGTATTGTTAATATCAATAAAATACGGGCTGTAGATCACCAGCTACTGAAGGTAGATCACCATACTAGGAGGAAGCTTAAACTCAGGACTGACAGGACAGTGGTCGTTAGGCGAGGAAGTACCTACAGAGACAAGGATAACGCTGACTGGCGATGAATGCACATACTGAATTGAACACTACTGTGTAATTTCGTGTAATAAAACTCTTCCTTCTCTACTTTTCAGCAAAACGGAAATTAAGGTAACTAACACATGTGAACATTGACTGGAACCTTTCTGAGGAATCAACCTGTAAACGTCATGTAACATGCATGTAAAAGTTCTGCATAACTAGTCTATCATACTAATCGTATAAAACGCTTGAAGTTTTGTGCACAGTCAAATGTGCATGTTGTCCAAGAAAAAAGGTTTGATAAAACACATAATATTTCACAGAGATACACACAAATGTGTACACGGCTTTTGCACATACCCACTGCTTTCACACACACAGTCACTCGAACTACTTTCGCACATATACATTGCTTGCACACACACAATCACACATAAACTCTTTTTTCACATATATACAGCTTTTAGACACATACACACAATTATTTCACACACAGATGCTCACACTACTTTCACACACTGATACACACAAGCATACGCCCACGCACACACACGTGTGCTACAAAGATGGAAACAAATGCTCTAGCCATTGACATCCCCGTAATATGCACAAAGAACTAAATTAAGAACCTCCTGTACTTTTACAATGATAGATGTTCAGCAGGTTCATGAAACTTATCGTGGTGACCATGATTGAAAAGCATGAGTTTTTCTGACCCGTATGATCCTTCGACTCAACAAAGCGACAAAATAATTGAAATACATGTTGATTTTATGATGTTAATTGCTCATTTACAAAATACACTGATTTTCATATAAACCAATGTCTGTACAAGTATGGCCCTGGAATGTTTAATGTTGGATTTATAGGTGAATGTGAACATTAAAAATGTCATTTTGCGTGTCTTACACGACTCAATGTCAATACCGAGTGTAACCTCCGTGTGACTGTATGACAGCCAGCACTCTCCTTCTCAGCCTCCTGATCCTCTGAAGCGGCAGTCTACACCATTCCTCGTGTAAAGCAGCTTCCAAGTGGGTCAGGTTCTGTACAGGAGGATTACTTTTTTGCAAACGAGGACCAGTCATGTCCCAAATATGTTCCAGAGGGTTACATACATACATACAAACATTTATATGGCGCCGATATCCAGTACAACTGCTCAAAGGCGCTCTGTTTTCCCTCGATCACTGGATATCCATCACAACGGCATATCGTATTTTTCAATCTCAACTCCCTGGGGATCATGCAACTCTTGCTGCCTACTAGGCGCACCGAGTTAATGTGGCTTTTCCATCCTTACGAGGTACCCATTCACAGCTGGGTGGACTGGGACACATAGTCACAGCACTTTGTCCAAGTTTACTGCACATTGCTGTACCCGCAAATAGGTGTTTGCACGTATTCATGTGGCCACCATCTGGTCATCTACCAAAGGATTCGTGGGTTCTTTTAAGTGCACAGCGTTGTGTACTGTACACTAGGGGTTGTGACAACACGGAAAGAGTCTGCACACAAAGTTGACTCCAAGGTTAGGGTCAGGGCTCATGCAATCGTGAGATATGTCAGGAGGTGCTTAACTAAGTTCTTTCGTATGCCATGTGTAAAATTAAGTAGTTGTTTCAATTTCAGTTTTGATGTTGGAATCTTTTAATTACCTAAATGTTTTGATATGTCACAATGTATCAAGATATTGTGTTGTTAGAATAACCATCAATTTCAGCTTTAAAAATAATATATATTCGAACTTTTAACTACCTAAATGTTTGGGTGTGTTACATTGTATCATGATATTGTTTTGTCAGAATAAGCATACACACATTTCTATCTGTGTGCCTATGTGCCTCCAGGTATGCTGCCCACCTGACTGCACTGAACAACAGAGCCAGCAGCGAGTCCCCCTACGCTACAGTCCACGTCGAGGGTGCCAGGGTGTCCTACTCAAACATGAGGTACCCATGACCTATATCTACCACAGTAATACAATTAATATATCGTACAAATATATGAAAAATGGGACATTATTTCATTTAGGACTGGGCTCAATAACATAATCAATGAATGAATATGTGACACAATAATCAAGCACTTACAAATCTTTCAGGGAAACGTTTCTCACTTTAGTTAGCGAAAACTAGCAATAATTAAAATATAAATACTTTAATGATGTTTATAATAGTTTTTATTTTTTTATTATCTTCTGTGGTTTCAAATTCATGATAGACATATAGTTTATATTTATCTTAATGTTATGCCACTTGGAGAAGTGGGTCTGTAATTGCTCCAGTATTAACCGTTTGTAACTCATTTACCCATAAGTGTTGGCTTCTTGGCTAAAACAAAAACAAACATGGTCACATCAACAGAGAATCTTCTGCTACAAGCGAGCACCACTATGCCAACTTGCCGTTGCCAAGCTACAGGTCTGATGCTACAGCTGACTACGTGGCTCTCGGGCAGGAAGAACACGTCCACATCTACACGGCTCTGCGCCCCAAAGTTAGGCAGCAGGTGGGAGGTGGGAGAAGGAAGGCTGACACAGCGGGAGGATCACCATAAGCCGGGATAACACCTCCTCATCACTGTATCCTCAACTCTCACAGGGCATGTCCTATGTGAAACATCCAGAGAAGGAACACGTTCCAGACACCCAAGCACGACTCACAACGCTTCAACAAATCTTGTTACTATGTACCTGTCTTGATAAAGGTCTGAACGCATTGGGAAAATACTCGGACAGATCACATTTCAAATCACTAACACTACGAGCCATTCTGTGTATGGCTAGGAGCTTTCATACTTAAAGATTAGAATTTGACAAGTCATACAGACTTGTAATACCTTTGATATGGTTACAGTCTACTGTATATTTTAGTTGACCAATGTACTATCAGCGCTGCCAGCTTGTGAAAACTAACCTACTTAGATGTAGGCTGTCTGCGTCTTTGCTTACTTTAAGCCTTAGTCCTGTAGAATGGTGTTCATTGTCCTCGGTTAATAAATCCTTTAACTTGGGTTGTCAACTTTGTCAGTGTGGTTTTAAGCAATAATTATGTCTTCACTTGACTTTCACATGCGTGCGTGTGCGTGCGTGCGTGCGTGTTAGTGTTTGTGTGTTTGTTTGTGTGTGTGTGTGTGTGTGTGTGTGTGTGTGTAAGTGTGTGTGCGAGCGCGCGTGTGCGTGAGAGAGAGATATAATTACTTGTCTATGGGACAGGCGCTACTCTAACCCAGGGGGAGTAATCGTTGCCAGTAATCACCACCAAACACATCAACCCTTCCGTTTGACGAAATTGGTGCATTTTTCAAAGGAGTGTTATAATCGCTATAACACACACACACACACACACACACACACACACACACACGAGAAAAGAAACACACACACGAGAAAAGAAACACACATACACACAAAACACACACACAAACACAGGCACATATACACGTATACACACAAATGCACAAGTGTATTCTCCTCGGTGTTTTAATCGCCGTCATGCATGCATGCACATACACACACATACACACAGACACACGCACACAATCACAAGCACATACACACAGAAAGAGCAATTTCCTCAGTGTTGTTGTATTCGCCACAATACACGCATGCATGCACGCGCGCGCACACGCACACACGCACACCTACATCGGCACACAAGCACACTCACACGCAGAGTCACACAGACAGACACTCACGAACAAACACAGGCACGCACACACAAACATAATCTTAAACACGAAATGGTCACATGTATTACCACATAATCATATTTCATGTGTTGTGCTGTAAATACCTACCTGTTGAGTTGCAGGTGCTATAGCAACCTATCGTGGGGCCCTTTTCGCGAACACCTGGTGTCTTCCCAGGATTTCAGTTGTACATGCCATGATTTCTACAGCTATTTTCCTCCTGACATCAAATGGAATAAGTTTCTAATGATAGTTAAGACTGCTGGTATTCCTTTGTGCTGAAGATTTATATTAGTTAAGCACTTCACCCACGTCATTTCGCTGCTAGCCCTCGGGATATTACTGCACAATAACAAATATTGATCTTTTTCATTGGCTTTGATGTAAACCATCGGTTATATGGATATCTGAAATCAATGTTGACTTATATTTTCAATCATATCATTTTAATGTCACTGCTTTCCTTAATTTTTATTAAGCTCATGCATAAGATATACAATTGTGAAACCATGTTTAAATTCGAAACACTAGAGGTTGAATGTTGAAGTTCATTATGCTTTTATTATTATATACCATTATCTGTATATATTTCTGTTACCTGAGGGTGTCTGGGTGTTGTACCCTTCTCCCTAGGCAGTCTATCTACTCTTGTTCCGGGGATGATGTATCTGAGATGGATAGTCAAAGATAAGTCTAGTATGGTGTTCAAGTCCTGTTTATTTTTGAATGAATTCTTGCACAAAGGTCCTCAGAAATTACCTAGTTCTGAATTACACACAACATTGGTTCACAAACTTTCTGGAAGAACTTGTTGGTTTCTTGTAGAATTCTTAATACTATCAGTTCATCTGAGCTATTCTCTCAATATACAGAGAGAACCTTTCAAGTCAACGGTGGGGCCCAGAATCGCGCTCTGCTCCCTCGACTTGAGACAAAACAGAACGTCTGACAATTTTGGCTCCTCCCCCCGAAATAATGTCCTACGTCATACGAATATGACTCATATCCCATCTTAATAATTAGTTACTTTCATTTGTCCCTTTCCGAGACTTTATTTAGTACCATCAAATTCTTCCAGTTATAAAATGACATTGCTAGTTAGCTTTAAGCCATCCATCAACCAAACATTGACATCTCTAACAACTATCTAACTAATATTTCAGACTGGTAGGCACCAGAAGATACTTAATCAAATCATTTCAGATCCTCTGTGTGCCCATTTATCAACAAACTGACCATCTATATCCCGAATGTCCATCCACCTAATTGTGTAGAGTCACGCGATCTAACCTTTCCTCCACATTTATGTCAATTCAGAGAAATTGTTATTTCCCCAAGAAAAGTGAATCAATAAGAATTCGGTTAGCTTGGTCAAAGCACTTTCCCAGTACATTGACCCTTCTTAACTTGACTTCAAATTTTCCCTAAATCTTTATGAAATGTATATAATGTTTTTAGTTCTAAATATCCTTGTTATATTTCTATCAACTGCTTACTCGTTCGCGGCATGTAGAATATAGCGTCACATAAGAAACGTGACGTCATAGCCTTGTTCATGACCTCTAGTCACCATGGCAAAGTGATATTTTGCCCTTGGGCATCGTACGAAAAATATGAACCCCGATATTTTCGCCCTCGTGGGGTTCTTCATGTCGGTTGGTTTTGTATTTCTCCTTTTGTCAACCAATACTTCATATATCTTAAAGGTCACATAAACCCTAGGGGGTAAAAATACATAAATCACTAACTGGCATCGTTATAAATGAAACCCGTCATTAAAACTACTCATTTCGACCTTTAATTGACTCGAATAGCTTTGAGGGCCGATGCAGAATTCATCTACATTTTAGGGGGTAAATTACCTTGTTTACAGGCTTGTATAAACCTGAAATCGTGACAATTGTTGTGGAAAATGAAAGCTATATGTTCTCACAATCTAGTGGCATTTAATTTTGTCTCCTGCTTTGCCTAGTTTCCGAGTTACAACTTGTTTTCATAGACGCTTCTGTCACAATTGATTGGTGTCGTTAGGCCCTATTTGTATAATGACTGATCCAAATTGCTCCCATTTCTGTGTTTTTTTACCTCGATATTTAATCATGTCATGTAAAAATCTGTTGGTATTCTCAAAACAGTGTCGGCCCATAAGTTTTCACATGCAATACAGCAATTAATACTCCCTTGTTGTAACCCGTGTTAGGTGGTATAAACCTACACATGTTATTTGTCTTCATTCACTTGATGGTCAGTTAATGAATTTATAACAGGTATAATTAGTGGTAACACACTTAGATTACCCGACAAAGGTTCCCATTTGGCATTTCTTGTGTCTGGAGTAAATATTCAACATTATAAACATCGATCAAAGGATTAACCGATAACACGCTGATTGATTAATTACTTTTATCTTACACAGCGGAATTGTCAAAAGGTAGTGTTTATGTATGTAGATTTACTAATCTATACTGAATACACTCTGCCGTGTCGGTGTCTGCGTAAAAACAACGTCCTTCTTTCAAAGGATTAACCGGCAATACATTTATTGATTGCCCATTATTGGCTAACTAAATTACTGTTTTTAATGAAAGGCGGACATTATGCAATTAGTTGCCAGGTGTGCTATCTTGGGTGACCAATGAGACTATACACCAATACCTGAAAAGATTTATCACTTTTTCGTATATTAAACTGTTAAAAGACACATCATTTGGAACAGTTTTGTGGATATTGATGGATACATTCCTCAAACAAGGTAATGGCCTGATATTGTTCCTATAACTTTAATCTGTTTTAATTTTAATATTTGCATTTTGTTTTTATTCATTTGTCGTAGCATTCAACAGAATCATTGTTTTCGCCGTGAAGTGTAATGAGACAGACAACATACACTAGGGTGTGTGTGCGAATTATGATTCACATTGGCAAACTATAAAATGTCTAGATATTACAGTTCTGTTATAAATTCACTATAAGTATCAGCAGATCGTCAGCTTTTTATTTAGTTTCAAAATGCATACAAGTATGATAATAAACTAATTAGGATTATAAGACCAAATATAAAGACGCACATTGACTAGTATCTACATACTGGTGAGTGGACATTAACCATGTGAATGTAGCAAGAAATTTATCGCGCAGTATTGTGACTTTGACCCCCACCTCGCTTCCGTGGAAGAAATCGTTATGTTATAAGTTGTGTCATGCAAAATCCTTTTGGTTATAATTCCAATACATATTTAACTACGAGTAGAAAGTAGTTTTGATTTTCTAACTTGATGAAAACAAACTATAATCTCATTAATTCTAACAGACTTTACGATTTTCAAAAATGGCGGCGCCCTGTCGAGAACATCCGCCAGTCTGTGGATAAATGCTATTTAGGTTTGTTTTCACCGAGTTACAAAATCAAAACTACACTCTACTGGTAGTAAAATATGTATTTGATTGATGGCCAATAGGATTTTGCATGACATAGCGTATAACATAACAATTTCTCTCCTGGCAGCGAGGTGGGTGTCAATATAATACTACTTACAATATTATTGTTACTTCGACCATAACCTCACTTCCGAGGAAGAAATCGTTATGTTACAAGTTGTGTTATGGAAAATCTTTATGGTCATCAATCATATACATATTTTACTATAACTAGTAAGTAGTTTTGATTCTGTAACTTCCGTGAAGCGATCTGAACACAAGTAAGATATCGTTTCAGGCTTCCACAACGCTCGCTTTGCACTCACAAACATAACCCATTTAGCACGAATTGCGGGGTCCTGTGGAAATCTGTGCATGGTGACACCATCACCCGACCCCTAGGAGCAATTGACGACAAAGCAACGATTCGGCATGTCGTCGTTCATGTCGAGAAATCATCAAAATGATGAGCGTGCTACACACTTTCTATACAACTAACTGAAAATCGTTCCTCATATGACGTCACTGCAGTGCTCTGGCGACAGAGTTACGTAACCTGTCTGTGGTTTCGTTGGCGGGCGAGAGGGAAGCAGGCGACTTTTTGGCCACTTTTAATCGCTCGGTATTAATTAACCACAAGTTTTTAAAGAATAAATTTGGTGTTCCGCATAAGACTAACCACAAATCTTTCATATGTAATGGTTAAAAGAGTAACAAAAAACAAAGTTTAGTGGTTCTTTAACAATACGTCTTATATATAATTATTATTTATGCAAACACAAGAGTCTGACGTTTAAACACATTATTCACCATCGCACATCAGCAGCTCTAGGGATGATCATCAGGAACCTGTAAGTGGCATTGTGTATTTAAAGCGATGTGGTCGGTCCTTGTGCTGGCGTGGTACTGG